GTAACGTTAGCAAATTTGCGCTGGATGCGCTTTGGATAACGGTTAACGTTATACGCGCAAATGTTCGGCCGATATGGTATAAAGGATTTGGCCTTTTAAATAGCTTTGCGGGCGCGAAATTGGGCTTTAATAAATTTTTCGAAAAATTCCGGTATTGCTTTAAACAACCGCTTGTAAACGGTATTTAAAATTTTGTAAAAGTTTTGGGCCATTTTCCAAAACCATTCGGGGAATTTAACGCAAGTTTTATTGCTAACCACGTTTTTGCAATAAATACATTTGGAAAACCCCGTACAATTATCGGAACATATCGGCATACGGGGGTTAACGGCATAATTTTAATATACTTAACAATTAAAATAACGGTTACAAAATACCGTACGCTCCGTATAATTGTTTTTAAAAAAGGGCAAATAAATAAGGTTTTAATTATCGCCCTATTAAAAATTGATAATTTCCCGCAACGGGAACGCGTTACAAATACCTATATAAAGCGAAAAAAAAGCAATATCCGTTTCGAAAATAAATTTATTAAAATCGAAAGCGTTGCGGCGGCGTTCGTTGCGCGCTTTACGCTTTTTTTCGGCGAAAGTTTTTTTGCCGCGGCGGTTAAAGCCCGCCGGGGGGTTACCGGCAAAACGCTTGCGGAAATTTTAAAGGGCTGCAAGCGTAAAAGGGCCTAATGGACCCGCAACATTTAAAAAGCTTACCGAAAGGTTACCGGCAAAGCGATCGTTAAGGATTTAAAGAACTAAAAGCTTTGGCAAAACCGAATCCAAATTTAACTAAATTATAATAATTGGGAAAAATACCGGGGGGTCGCCAGGAAAAGCCAACGGGCCGGTTAGGACCGAAAAACCCAAAGCGGATATTTAAAAAAATATTACCTTTTTTACGTAATCGGGTACAAAGGATAACATTTGCAGCTACCGGTTAAATCCAAGTATCCAAAAGGAACGGTTAAATACTAACTATTTACGGTTACAATCGTTAAAATTGTTGGAATGGTTATTAAATGCATAAAAAGGAAAAAAAAAGGGCTCGTAACTTTAAGCGGGAAGAAAAGCCTTTTATATGCCGGTACGGACCCATTTTTTCGGATGTTACAAAGCTTTACAACCGGTTTCCCCAAACGTTGCCGGGCATCGAAGCGGCTTAACGGGATACCGTAAGCTACCGGCTACCCACGGGGTTGTACGCGCGGCATAAGCGGCTTGGGATAGGCCGTATCGGAAAGGGGCAATATGTTAAAAGTACGGGCGAAACCGCCCGGCAAAAAGCGGGAAGCGTTAAATGCACGGGCAAAACCGCCCGGCAAAAAAGGAAAAAAGGGGCGCTAACAGCCAGCCGGGCACGGACCCCCCGGGAACATGCCAGCGAGCTACCGGTATCGCGGCCAAAGCATAATAACGAAATTAAAAAATAAAGTAAAGCTTAAATTGTACGAAAGCGCTTAAAGCGCAAAAAATTTAAAAGACCGACCCCGGGTGCCCGAAGGGGCACAAAGGAAAGGAAGGTTAAAAAAAGAACAATTTTTGTTAGCGATAGCACCTTTGGTAAAAAATTTACGGAAACCTAACAAAGGAAATACCGCATCCGGCCCGTAACCCGGTAACCACCCGCCTCTGCACCGATTAACCCCTAACAGGTAACTACTGCAAACGCTATTGCAAACGTTAAAATTAAACCATTTGCGTTAATAGCAAAAGCACTTCTTTTAAATAAAATCGCCGTTTACGGACCAACGGAAATTGCGCATTTATTTAAGCTTATAATTGTTAATGCATTATTATTGGAAATTACTTATAAAAAAAGGTTCGAAATCCTTTAAATAAGGTACGGGTTCGTTTTTTTATCCAATTTCGACGTTAAATTCGGAAGCAACAAAGCAACCACTTCGCTAAACCGCTTAATTGCTTGCAAAAAGGCCACGAAATAACGTTTGTAAAAAAAAAGGGTCGTAAAAAAAACTTTCGTTGTTACAAAACGAATATTTAAAAAAAAGTGCAAACGGTATTTGCGAAAAAGGTGCAAGCTAAAAGCGGCAAGGTTTAAGTTAAAAAGCGTTATAAAAATTACCAAATTGTTTTCGCTTTTGTTTTTATCAACGTTAACGTTTTTCGAGCACACGTTAAACCTTTTTACGGTTAAATAAAAAAAGAATAAAAGGGCTTAAGCTTGTTATAAAGTGCTTTAATAATTGCGTAAGTAAAATTTTTTTACCGGTACAACAATAAACTTAATGCTCGCGCTAAATAATAGCACAACGACTTTATGCCCGTTGTATAAACGCAAAAGCATTAAAATCCATGCTACGAAAAAAAGGAACGGTCGAAAGCCCTAGCAAAAAAGGTGCCGGCCGGAACGTAAGTACCGGCCAAAAAGCAAATGCCGGTAAACGTTCCGCCGGAATAAACAATCGGTTACTTTTATTAATTTTTTGCCAAAAAAAAGACCGACGATTTCGATTTGGCAAAGCTGGGTTTTTTGGGCGATTTTTTTTGGGAGCCGAAAAGACGCGGGCAATTGCAATACGGAAAGTACTGCTAGCCTTACGCAACGACCTTTATTAAAAACGATACGCAAAGCAATTAATAATAAGCTTGGTATTTCGAAAAGGCTAAAACTTTTCGATAAGCTTAATTTATACGCAATTACGGCATTGCTTGGTTTTGGTTGGAAAAGGAAAATCGAAAGGGTTGGAAATATTCGAAAGGTTGAAAGGATCGGCCATAATTTCGATTTGCAATTGCATACCGCATATATTAACAATCCGGTTAAAAAAAGCATTAATTAATGCGGAAAAGCTTAAATACTTTATTAATCGATTTGGTTTAATACAATTTAATAGCGTTATCGAAATTTGGAAAAAAAGGCGTGCAAACGGTTAAAAAGTTACAAAATAAAAATTAACTTTTTTTGGCGGGGTAAAAAAAAGCGCGGCATTAATTGTAAGCGTTTAATAAAGCACGGAACGAAAGCACGTGCTTTTAGCCCCATTATTTTAAGCAGCAATAAGCGGTAAACGGGCGGTAAAAAGTAAATTGTTAGGGGTTAATCGGTGCAGAGGCGGGTGGTCACCGGGTTACGGGCCGGATGCGGTGTCTCCTTTGTTAGGTTTCCGTAAATCTCCTACCAAAGGTGCTATCGCCAACAAAGATTGTTCCTTTTCTGACCTCCCCCTCCTTCGTGCCCTTTCGGGCACCCGGGGTCGGTCCTTTAAGTCCTCCGCGCTCCAGGCGCCTTCGTGCAATTTAAGCTTTACCCTATCTTTT